TATGGGGCATTGCCAAGAGAAAGATGAGAGGCATGAGACCGAACAATACAGAAGAGCTGAAGGCCGCTATTGAAGCAGCCTGGTCTTCCATAACACTTCAGCAGTGCCACAGGCCGATAGCTTCCATGCCACGCCACACTGAGGCAGTAATTGCTGCAAAATGGGCCCAAACCAAGTATTGAGTACATATGCATGCTTATCCTTTTCAAAGGTCCGATATTGTTCTATGTTCAATCCTTGTTTTATTGATTGCATGTAATATTCTAATTTTCTGAGATTGTGGATTTGGGGTTTTCATGAGCTGTAAGCCATAATCATCACAATTATGACAAATCACGGCTTGAACTATCTTGCTTTGCATGTAGAGTCTATCTCATATATTAGTTTCACCTTTTAAGTTGCATTACTGAAACAAATGAACTTTTGCACGATATTCTAATTTTTCGAGTTTCACCTGTATGTGTGCCAAGACAATTCCTCTTCACTCAATATGGCCGAGGCAAGCCAAAAGGTTGGACACCATGGGCTATAAACAGTTCAATCTGTTTTGTTCAATCTCCCTTCTTCTCTTCAATTTAGCCCCTGCCAATCTTCCCAAAGCACTTGTCACACCCTATCATTCCCCTCCAGTTGAATACTTTCTTACCAGATATGGCAGCGGCTGCAGCTGGGTGCCCAGCAACTTGAAGCAACGGGGGTGGCGGTGGGAGGCCAGGAGAGGGGGTGAACATGCCTGGGTGGTGGTGGGAAGGGGGCTGATGGGTAGAGGGAAAAAGGTGGGGGGGCAGGGCCAGCAAGGGGGTGGAGGGCTGGTGAGGGAGTTGAGAAGGGGAGCAGGGCGGGAGGATGGGCTTGGGGTGAGCTGCACCGCGGTTGCACCTGAAAAAGGGAGAAAAAATAAATATATGCCTAGGTAAGGAAGAGACAATAATAATGGAAACAGAGACACTCAAGAAAGCCGTTCATTAGGCTTTTGAAAGGGAAATGGGTTTCCATCTCAGTTCAGTGATGGACTCAACTAGGATGTCTTGGATTAGAAGCTTCATCCAGCATCATGTCCTTAGTTACAGCATACAGGGAATAATGATGGCAGGTCTCATGGAATTGTTATCAGCACAAACCAGGGTACTATCTACTCAGCATAAACTTTTTTTTCAAAAAAACCCTCTTTCTAAAGAAAGAGACGAGAAAAAAAAATGCAGTCCAAATACATGATGTAGTCACTTCCAACTGTGGGCCAGAAAGCCCCAGTCCAATCTCATCCTTGTCATATCTTCACTATAAGGAGCAAGTCAGGCCAATTCTCTCCATTTTAAGTAGTTAACTCATCTTCAATGTATATAAAACTATAACTATGACTATAACTAACATATAACTATCTACGGGGTTGCTGTAAGGATATACAAAGAGCTTTCAACATTTTCAAGTTATTAATAAGACATAAAGAAGGGTAGGGATATGTCTCAAAGAGGACAGAAGCAACAGCAGTTAAAGGAAATAAAAACTATGAAAGTGTAAAAGGACAGAAGACTAACATGGGGACAGAAGCAGAGCTTGAAAGAGACAGATAAAGAGAGTGCAAAAAAGAAACAATAACCAGAGAGAGCTCTGTAGCCAGAGGGCATCAGGACTCACCCTCCAGTGCTGAGGTCAAGCCCTACAGAGTATGGTGCCTGCGTCTGGCTGGTAGAGGGTGGCACCTTCATGTGCAGTTGGCTCTGGGCAAGGCTGTGGGTAACTGCTCCACCCTGAGGCATTGGAGGCAGCTGGCCTTTAGGCTGGGGCATCCCACGAACAGTGTTAGGTGTCTGAGCCAGAGTCTTGACAGGAGGTGGGGCAGGAGGATTTGGAGGCAAGGCCTGAGCCAGAATAGGGGCAGTAGCTGCCTGAGAAGGGGGTTCCTTAGTCAGGAAAGGCACTAGCAGGCAGTCCCGGTCGGCCTCATAGTTACGCTCCTGGCTCCGTTCCAGGCCAGAGACTTTAGGGATCACAGAGAGTTTGGTTTCACAGCTGCCGTTTAATGCACCAATGGGTCCCAAGGCTGCCAAAAAAAAATGCAAACAGAGAAAACAAGGATCAGACTATTTGAAAAGGCCCAACAGAATGTGTTGGATTTTAAAACTTTTGGGATGGAGCCCCATTTCACTGACTGGACAAATGTGTCAGCTACAAATGTTGATGTACACAACAAGAGTCATAGTAAGTCACCAAGGGGGGGAGGGGGTAAGTTTCCATTGACATTGCATGTTTTAAAAAATTCCATGAAAACAGCAGAGGCACAATGAATCAAAACACTTCCAGCAACAGAGGTGGCAACTGTCATAAAACCCAGCAAGAATATATTTGATACTTTGCACTCCCAGTTAGAAGCAGGACACCGTGGCACCTCTGTAAAGTGTTCCGAGGGACACTTTTGCAGTAACTTTCAAGCAAAGAACTCCTTTAGCTATCAGCATGGCCACACTAGGAAGTACTTTGCTTTGAAGGTTCATGTAAATGCTCCCTCACAACGCTTTATGGAGGTACCACAGAGCCGAGTCTAACCGGGAGTGTTAACTCCTCACTTAGCAAAAGTCATATTGTTTATGCATGCAGAGAAGCCATTTCTGCAATCAAAGTTACCAAACAAGGCACATCAGCCTCCCTGATCCTGGCCAAGCTTTTTGCAGAGACACAGTGGTTCCAGTCTACGAGGTTCTTTGCTGTGTTGAAACAGTGGTGATCTGCACAGGGCTAAATAACGCTACTACTTTTATGAAAACAAACTCTTCTGAAACTCAGTACTGTTTACTTCCCTCTTTCTGACAGAATACCATATAAGTATATTTTGTCATCTGTTCAGTTGTTCCTCCTAATCCAAAGATCCAGTTGGCTCCCAACCTGATGATGTTCAGGAACCTATTAAAGCCCTAGTTTCCCTCTTAAACTTTGGGGCAGAGTGCAGGATGAGACCCTGCTAAGATGGAATTTGGGGGACTATTCATGTTTTTTTTGTCTTTTGTCTTTTTTACTTTTAAATTGTAGGCTGCCCAAAGAGATTGGGAGTTGGACTACCTATGAATTGTATAAATAAATAATTACAAGCATCAGGAGACAGAGGACCTAGTATAGGCTCTGAAATGAGTCAGTTTTTTTTCCGATTCCTTGTTGATGGGAAGATAACAGATAATCAGAGTTGGAAGGGACCTTGTAGGTCATCTAGTCCAACCACCCCGCCCAAGCGGGAGACCCTACACCATTTCTGACAAATGGCAGTCCAATCTCTTCTTGAAAGTCTCAAGTGACGGCGCTCCCACAACTTCCGAGGGCAAGCTGTTCCATTGGTTGATTGTTCTGTCAGAAAGTTTCTCCTTATTTCCACGTTAAATCTCTCCTTGTTCAGTTTCCATCCATTATTCCTTGTCTGGCCTACAGCTGCTTTAGAAAATAGCTTGACCCCCTCCTCTCTGTGGCAGCCCCTCAAATATTGGAAGACTGCTATCATGTCTCCCCTGGTCCTTCTCTTCACTAGACTAGCCATACTCGGTTCCTGTAACCGTTCTTCATATTTTTTAGTCTCCAGTCCCCTAATCATCCTGGTTGCTCTTCTCTGTACTCTTTCTAGAGTCTCAACATATTTTTTGTAATGTGGTGAACAAAATTGGATGCAGTACTCTAGGTGTGGTCTTACTAAGGCTTTAGAGTGGTATTAGTACCTCAAGTTGATCTCAATTGTATCCCTCTGTTAATGCAATTTAGGATTGCATTAGCTTTTTTAGCTGCTGCTGCACACTGCTGGCTCATATTTAGCTGGTTGTCCACTAAGACTCCAAGATCCCTCTCACAGTTACTGCTATTGAGCCTGGTTTCACCCAGTCTATATGGGTACTTTTGGTTTTTCTTGCCTAAGTGTAGGACTTTACTTTTCTCTACATTGAATTTCATTTTGTTAAGATACGGCCCAGTGTTCTGGTCTGTCAAGATCCATCTGGATCTTGAGCCTATCTTCTTGGGTGTTAGCTATTCCTGCCAGCTTAGTATCATCTGCAAATTTGGTAAATTCCCCTTCTATTCCCGCATCTAAGTCGTTAATAAAGATATTGAAGAGAGAGGGCGGAGCTGGCGGCGTGACGATATGGCATGCGATCTTGGAGGTCTGAGATCGCTGCCAATATCTTTGCTCCTGGACGGTCCTATCGGATCTAAACCGTCCCGAAGAGACGGTGAAAGTGAAGAGCGCATCCTGTCGATCCCAGGGATACCGCAAAGTCCCTGGTAGATCCAGGTGAAGCTCTTCTTGCCAGCGGCAAAGAGGCAGCCATTAAAGCTGCTGAAGTTGGGACAGCTCCGAAATGAGAGAGAGCAGAAAGAGAGAGTGTGCCGGTTTGGTGAGAACTTTTT